TCAACCACCTTCCCCAAAAAGGGGAAGTGGGAGACTGGACAGAAATTGTCCAGCACGGTAGGATCCAGGGAGGGTTTCTTGAGGAGGGGGTGCACCAACACCTCTTTAAAGGCAGCTGGAAACACTCCCTCCTGCATAGATGTATTAACTATCACCTGGATCCAACCATATATCACCTCCCAAGCTGCTTTCACCAGCCAGGAGGGGTATGGGTCCAGATGGCAAGTGGTGGCCTTCACAGTCCAGAGGATCCTGTCCAGTTCCTCAGGAACAACAGGATCAAACTGTTCCCAGATAACTGGGTAAGAACGATCTCCTGGTATCCCCCTAGACCCTGCCCCACACTTGGAGTCTAACTTGGAATGAATCTGAGCGATTTTGTCTTCCAGATGCTCTGACAATTCCTCCACGTGGCCCTGCAAATGAATCATCAGATCCCCCTTACCAAGGAGGGATCTAGTGATCCCAAACAGGGGCACCAGGCAGCACTCTGCAGATGTCATAAGGGTGGAGAAGTATTGGTGCTTCGCCGCTCTTATCGCCACAATGTAGCCCTTAATAGTGGCTCTAACCTGTGTTCAGTCAGATTTGGTCCTTGTCTTCCTCCAGCAGCACTCTAGACATCTCTTGACCCTCTTCAGAACCTTCAACTCCTCCGTAAACCACGGGGAGTGTCAGGGCCGATGTGGCAAGAAAGGTCACATAGGCGCGATCCTGTCCAAGGCCCCGGCCACCTCCCTATTCCAGGCAGCAGCCAAGGCCTCCGCTGGACCGTGCAGCAGATCCACAGGAATACCCCCCAGCTCCCTCTGAAACCCTAACGGGTCCATCAGGCGCCGTCTTTATTCCCACTTTGCATGCACGTGCCTATCTAGATTTACTATGTCAAACTTACTATTATAGTAGTATATTAAAATAAGTATAATGAACATTTAGTGAGATTCTTCCTTAATATACAACTTCCAGATAATAACAACTTGCTTTGGAAAAATTTACCATGATCAAAACTGAAGAACATTCTATTACTAAATTATCAATTGTGTTATTTGTAGGAAAGAGAAAGAGGGAGGGGGAGGTGTCGCAAATTAAAAGGAACCAGCTATCAAGATGACCATAAATATATAAATGCTAAAACACAATAAACATATCAAAAGAAGAAAAAAAAATCAACATTATTTCAGAATCAGTCCCAGGATTAACAGGACCACTGTGTCCTTGACACGGCTGCTGCAGGAACACTGCATGCTAAAAGGTGTAATAAGCAAAGGAACAGCTTACCTTACTCTTCAGTTCATCTTCCAGGGAGAAGTAGACAAAACGAATGCATGCATTGACTAGTCCCTCAATGAGGCGGACAACATCTGATCGGGCCTGATACTGGGAGGAGACCATGCCCATGAAGATCTGGCCACTCAAAGCCTGGATACAGTCCTCCTTCTCCATCACTTCCCCAATCCCTTCTTTGGGCATGCGAACAAGAGGCAAATGCACAGAGGATGGATATATATGCAGCCAAGAAGGAATGGCAGAGATAGGGACAGACAGTCACAAGTGAAAATGCAGGACACACCCATTCAAAGGATCAAGAAGGAAGTATGATCAGCCATGACCGAAAGAGCCCAGTGCAACACATATATATGTGCAGTGAAAGAGGGAAAGAGAAAGGAAGAAAAAAAAATGCTAATCAGTTATAAGAAATCAGTGACAGAAAAGATATGTGAAAAGCTATCAACAGAACACCCAAATCCCAAAATATTTTTAAAAGCTAGGGGGAAGGTTTGGATGATCAACATCTTCTTAGCAAGCCTCCACATCAGCAGAAAATAAGGAAACTGATCTCGGAAGGGACCACTGTTATCTCACTTATCATGCCTTGCGACAACTGGGATGTCTAAATTAGTTCTTTACAATCAGCTAAAGGATGATCCTTGAGGAACCTGCCAGGCTAAAACAGCAAGACTGATGCTGGATCAAATGAATCCTTTTTCTGATGACCTGGCAGCTTGTCCAAACATCAAGAGTTTAGATAAGCAGGATTCTTTCACAACTGCCAGATCAGATGGAGACCAGGAAAGGACCTTGAACCAGAAAAAAAAATGAATCCAACTGCAATGAGATCATTTTTTTTTCCTGGTTCAAGGTCCCTTCCTGGTCCCGATCTGATTTTTGTGCAGTTATAGTGCCTTTTATAAGAAAGAAACTTTATTTAAACAAAGAATTCTCAGTCAGGCAATACCCTCTGCGGCACAAGTAATTTTGCATATACCATAACAGCATGTTGACTGAAATTTTGTAAAATAACATTGTAATTGATGGTGAAAATCATCTGACCCTGTCTGTATTTTTAAATGTCATAATCTCCCAAAATGTTGTTTTCCTTCCTGTAACACCTTTTAAAAGATATGGTGAATCTAGACCAGCTTCTGCTTCTGCAGCAAATCCCACCTGTGGAGGCAAAGCACATACCATCTGAGCTCCAGCTGTTTCTCCGGCTGCTTTGCTTGATAGGTATGGTCCCTGGAAGATCACAAGAGGTAAAGATGGCATTTTGTCCAGGGACCTGCACCAGTTCTATGCATTTGCCATTCAGGAGGGAAGACAAGGCACAGTGCATGGGCTTGTAGGAGAAGGCAGAACAATAACCCGAAAGGCAGGCACGCTGGTAGAAATCCAGCACTTTCTTCCTGAGAAAACAAAAGACGAAAGCCATCAGAAACAACTTTTTCACTAAATTGCTGTTGTTATTATTATTCATTGTTGTATACCAGACCTTTCTGTTTATATAAGAAATGGATGAAACACTGAACTTCCTTGAAAAAATTATCTCAGAGTCATGCTTTCAATAGTTCTGGAGGGGTCAGGGAGATTAAAACAGCCTACTGAGGAATGAAAACACAGGGAGGCTGTCAGGCTGCTGGAAGTGGGAATAAAAAACTGGGGTAGGGGGAGAACTGGAATGGAACATCCTGGGAGAAGCTACAGTCACTGGAGAGGTTTGGTGGAGTGGTGAAGATGCTGGCCTAGAAATCAGGAGACGGTGAGTTCTAGGCCTCCCTTACGCATGAAAGCTGGCTGGATGACTTTGGGCCAGTCACCCTCTCTTATCCACCTCACAGGGTTGTTGTTGTGGGAAAAATAGAAAGCAGGAGCATTAGGTATGTTCACCATTGAGAGGGAGAGAGGGAGAGAGAGAGAAAGGCAGAATAAAAATATCATCTTCATCATCAACATGATGCAATTTTTTGTCGCTGGTCTTCTATATATGGGCATTCGGGCTTTTAAAGTTGCAGCCTGAAACAGTAAAAAAAGGCTGCAAAATCAGCTTAGCCCCAGAGAGACAGGCCACAACAAAGGTGCTTGACAAGACAGTTCATCCTCTACTGATGATATGGAGGAGGTCTCTGACTGTGGACTGACAAGCTGCCAAAAATGCAGAGCCAAAGTGGCATATAAATTTAAATCTTCCTCTCCCGAGCATTAAGACTACTTCTTACATGCATAATAGGACCAGCCATAGTTCTACAATATTGCCAACAAGCTTTTGATAAAGCATAGGCACGGTATACATTTTCCTCAGCAGGATGACCGAGCTTTGCAAGTGGGACCCCATTGACGGTGCCATGAGCAGCCTTCAGAGTGAGGAAAACCACCGTGGCACAAACATCCGCCCCGCGAAGCAGTCTCTCCAGCAATCTATACTACAAAGCCAGTGCCTCATGCAGACCTAAAGAGAAGTCTGTCTACCTGTCGGAGCCAGAAAGTGGGTAGATATCTGAGCCGTCCCAGAAGTCAGTGCAGGCCTCCAGGATGATGTCAGCAGTCCCATGGGAAAGCATCTGCTCCGTGCCTAGGAGAGACAATTGGGCCTACGTAGCAAGCCTGAAGATGGCTTGCTGACAGGCTCATTTATTTTACAGCTTCCAACGTTCCTTGTCCTCCACAAGCACCTTCCTGCACTGAACAAAATGACGGAATACAGAAGGCACTAAAAACAACCCTCTGTCTGCCACTGAATTGTCACAGGAGATCACGGCCTGTCAGGAGCCAGGGCAAGGCAACCCCAGCTTTCATGGATAATTATGCTTTTGTTTTCTTATGCCAGTTAGAGTTATAATAGCACAATTGACAAAGTGCCCATCATTTTTCCCACACTCAGGACTTACTGTAAGGTCCACTATAGAAGGCACATCTCATCTACGAGCAACATTCCCTTGGGGCAAAACCTCTAACCTGTTCAGTGCCAGATACAGGACACCCATATGGCAAACAATGGCTGCCCCCCAGGACCAACTGTCATCCCTCAGCTGTCTTCTCTCTTTCCAACGCCCGGCCTCAAAGCAGGGCAAAGCTGTCTTCGTTTCTTCACACATTCATGTCTAGAGACAGAGCTTTTTGTGCTTCTATATGAGGGAGATTCACTTTATTCTTGGAAATCATGTTCCCTTCCTTCCTCCCGCGATCAGCCATCCCCAGTGCATGGCCTTCAGATGCAACCAGACTACAGTTCTTAGCCAGCATAGCCCTGCGGGCAGGAAATTTTGGATTTGCAGTCCCAATTCAGCTGCAGTGGGCCAAGAAGGTAGAGAACCATCTCTTGGTAATGCTGGAAGGTAATAAAAATGTACTGTTTTTCATGTAGTCATTAAGTCCGACCAGCTTTTAAGCATTAAAGTAATTGTAATAAAAATGAATTCTGCTTTCTTAAGGATTTTCCACATCTATTTAGCTGTTTATGGAGTCTATAAACCTTCAGGGCAAATGTGGGTTATATACCTAGTGTTTTAAAATAAAAAGCAGGAGGAATTGACAGAGAAGAAATTGATGTGAGACATTTGGAAAAATCTTAACATTCTGGTTCTAGGCTGGAATTACACCCCCCCCCCCAAACTTGCATCTTAAGGCATCAACCAAGAAAAGTTAGCTAATCTTCATTTGGAAAACCTTTTCTGATGTCACTGGAGTAGCAACATTTCTTCTTCCTAACCCTCCTGGCATTTTATTATAGATCCAAGTGTAGAGCTATTCCCCTCAGAGTATACCTTAAATCTTTGAATTAACTAGAGAAGCTGCCTGTCAAATGGAAATCCCAGAGGCTGGACACTGCAGCTATCAGTCTCACAATCTTACTGGTTGTGGTGTCTTTCACAAAAAGGCTGATCATGTGACTCAAAGGCGGCCTCCTCTTGGTGATTAATGAGAGCTTCCCAAGCATCACTTCTTTCACCATCTCATCAGAGGGCAGGCGGTAAAGGGCCACGTAATTCTCCTGCTTGAAAAGCTCTTTGGCACCAGGTGTAAACCCTAGGGGTGAAAACCATCAATAGAGAAGGGGAACACCACAGGAAAGATTACCAGATCACACAAAATTTGCAGCAGCTCTTCTCATTCATGCACATTCCCCTCTGGCCAGCACCATCCTCTGAATAGCTCCTAATACTAAACAAATACCCTCACCATCTTCTTTCCTGCATATTTTGCAGTCCAAATGAATCAGCAGGTGTCAAAATAGATACACCACCATGTGCAATTGCCCCTAAAACCAGAAATGGGGGTCAAACATTGATTCAGAACTGGATGATTATATGGGTGACTGATCTTACTTTGGAGACCTACGTACTACCAACCAAATTTGCGCCATTATGACAGTCCTTTCTTGAGATGTAGTAACTACACAAGTGAGAGTAGCTTATGATTGTCAGACATGGACAACTGTACCATCACACAGTTCTGGCACGGTGGACATTGAAGGTTTAAACCAATTAGGAAGATGGAAAAGTTTATAGGAGGACCTAATCCTCTTTTGTACATCCATTTCACCTGACTCTTGATTAAAAAAAAAAGAGATAGAAATCAGCCAGTTTACCACTGAATTTCAGTAGTAAGCTTTGGAGGTTAAAATATAAGTTGCCTACCTTTGACGTAGTCATATCTAAATCAATATTAGCCAACTGGCTCTGGGAACTGCATGTTAAAATTTTACAATTGTAGATATAAGACTTGTACAGTCGGAAGTCTACTACTTGCTTGTACAGACCTAGTTCACATATGTTTTATTGAATAAATCACAACTGGCTGGTTTGTACATCCTGCTAAGTCATAAAACCATGTCTTTCAACACACCGTGGAGGAATTTACAAAATCAAATTACACTATGGTTTAGGGTGATGTGTGCATCCAGTCACAGTCATTTTGTTTTCTTCTCTAATAAACACCATTGTCCTTTGGAGTTTAACAAGCCAAACCAAGTGGAACTTCCCCCCATAACTGTTACCAGAAGTTTTGAAAAAGTGTTCAGAAATCAAGTGGAAATATGTTCTGTAGGCCAGAGGTCTTCTTTTTCAGGCCACAGAACCTGTTAGTTAAAAAAAAATCCCAGAACTCCTGATCAAGAAGCAAAGCTCTATTGATAGAAATGGCTGTGTTCGTTTGAGTGGACATTTTTATTCACCCTTAGTCTCTCATGGAACCCCATCGAGTTTTTGTGGAACCCTAGAGTTCACTTTCAAAAACCATACCTTAGGGAATTAAAAGAGAGATGTTTTGTCTTAGTTGTCCAGCAGCTCCTGCACTAATGTCCATGACTATGGACATTTCTGCTAACACGGAAGCTATGAACTTTGTGACTTATTCATTAAAACAAGGGAGATACTTGTTCACCTGCTCCATACCTATTAGCCTGGCAAGTTCACAAAGCCCCCATGGTATGTGAACCGGCAAGACAGCATTGTGTGTCTCTTGCAAGGCGATGTTACACAGGTGGTCGGAGAAGCGGCACAGGCATTCTGTCACGCTTGCGTTGCACAGATTGAGCAGCACGTTCAAGCCCAGGGGCTTCAGAGAGGTTAAGTGCATTTGCCAGTTGGAATCATCAAACTGGATGCAGGAAGGATTCTGCTGGTCTTGAGACAGGCTCAGCATTTCCAAATGGTAATCGCACACAAAGTCTTCAGCCTCACAGGCTAACCCCTCGCTGTCACCTTCCACCTAGGCCAGTAATAAAGACAGGCCTGATCAATTCTAACAGGATTTTAAAAAATGTATATCTCATCACGGATCAATATTAGAGCCAAACGGCTATAGTGCTAGAGAAGATGCCAGCCACTCCTTCCCTTATACGTATGCATCTGTCTGTCTAAAGTTTCTAATCATAGGCTACACATACCCATTAAGGCTCTTCCATGTAATTATTTAGTTCCCAGAACAATACTATTCTTTCATATTAGAAAGCAAGACTCAGATATAGAGCAAACTATCAGAGGATCTGTGAAAACTGCAGAAAAAAAATTAAAATAAAAAGTTGAGTGGTCAGTTTAACTCTCTTTTCAGACTGCATGATTTTTACATTCAGTCATTCTTTCATTCTCCAGAGCTCCTGCTGTCATAGTTCTCTGGAGAATAAAGGCAGCACATTAAGTCAAAAGACATATGGGAAACTGGCTCAAGAGCCTGAAGAAAGTTCTTTCTAATTGGATTTTAAAGGAAGACAAAAATGGCAGATAGCGTTGTTTAACGAACTGAACAAACTGGTTCTTATTTGACTTTTCAGCTGTTTACTGGACATGGCTCAGCTGTAACTGTGGAAATAATAGGACATGTAAATGTACCTGTACTCCCCTCCTCTGGCCTACAAAGCTGAACATGAAAGTATTGGTTCCACAGGTTAAGCTTTTACATTTGTGGTTTTGTATATGAGAGAAAATTAAGAGAATCCAGGAACTGCAGCCTATATGTTACTTAAGAAACTTAAACTGGGAGTCACATTGTTGAAGTTAACCAAAATGACCACCAGTCACAAATGAAAAGGTTAAATAACCATGATTCAGAAGTGCTTCAGAGTCCATGCAAACACAGCACCTCTCCGTGCCTTTAGGCTTCTACACAGGCTGAAAAAAGATGCTGCTACTTTAATGGGTCATCTCATTAGAGGAGCTGAAAAAAGAGGTGGCTGCTATAATGACTGCAGAGGAGTGGTGTACTCACAAGTACCAAAGCATTTCTGAATAATTTTTGAAGCATGCACAACCCAAGTAAACAGTTCCCTTCTAGCATGCTCACCACAATTCTTTCTGATTTTTAAAACCCCTTCTAAGATGGGAGTTCCCAAATATTTCCCAGGCCCTCACTGGTCTTTATCCTCTATTATACACCCTAGCCTCAGATCCCAGATTCCTCACAATCTAGTGTCTTATATCTCCATGATGGAAATCCCCTCTGTGTAATTTCAGCATGGGGCAAGGAGGGCAGTACTCATACTGGTATCCCCCTTCCTCTATATCCATGTTTTTCAAACTTGGCAACTTGTGTGAACTTCAACTCCCAGAATTCCCCAGCCATGGTTGAAAACACTGCTGTATATACTCCTACTGGCATTCTCATCTGCACGAAATGAAGACCATGGGCCAGCAGTGACCCACCTTCATTACCTGAATTGGCTCCTCCTCTCCTCCTTCAATGTCTTTGCTGAAGCTCACATTAGATCCCGAAGGGTGCTTGCTGCGGCCTGCTGGCTTCTTGTGAATCTGAGTATCAGAAGACTTGGGAGTATTGCTGGTGGACCACTCAGCCCTGTCTTGTTCATTGCTGATGCGAACCACATCCGACAAGGGCCCTGAGAGCAAAGCATCCCTTTCATGAGGCTGTAATACAGCATAAGTAAAAGAGGTAAGCAGAAAACCCCTGCAAGACGAAACCAAAAGGTGGACTACTGTAGATATTCACAGATAAGCTGAGAATTTTAGGTCCCAAAATACATCCCAAAAAATCAGGTTGGGCTTATCTGAGGATGGGCTAATCTGCGAGTATATACGGTAATACTTTTTAAAAGTATCTGTTTCTCCCATATATACTCGTGTATAAGCCCATCCGTGGATAAGTAGACCCTCGAATTTTTAACCAAAACATCATGAAAAATATGAGTCGGCTTATCCGCAGGTGGTGCACTTTTCACGGTATTTTGGTTAAATATTCAAGGATAGGATTATCCACAAAAAGGCTTATATGCAAGTATATATGGTACAGTATATTACTTAATAACCTCATGAGAATGGAAGGCTCATTTTATTATCCTTCCAAATGAACTTCCTGTTCATGTTCATGATCTGTATTTTCAGGAAAAAGGAGTGTTATTAAGAAAAGAGTTCTTAATTCTTATTCCTTCAACATCCACCTGCAAAGAACGTGCTTTTGGGCTCTTGTGGACTATAATCACACTGGAAAAACAAAACAATTGTCTGGTAGGTTTAATTAGTCTTTAATTCTGGAATTCTCTCCTACTTTCTATGTTGAATTTGGCAGAGGTAGGAATATGATATTATTACTAATTATATGAATAGGAACTCTTATCTTGTATACATTTATGCTTTGTACAGAAACATCATATGCACTATTCACACACACACCTGAAATATATTACATATTTTGTGCATAATTTAATTTCATAAAATAGGTTCTCTCTCTCAACAGCTCATGCTGTGTTTATTCTATTAATCTTCAAAGGTGCTATAAAATTATTTGCTCCAGATTTCCTTAAATAATTTAGACTGCTCATGTGGACTACTTGGATGAAAGAATATGTCCCCTAAGGAAGCTATTTTATAGATATAATTTAACTGCAGAATTTGAACCATGCATCTGCAGTGTTTAATTGGCTTTACCTTGCAAATTAAACAAGGGTCAGGAAGACCAAGACACAGCTTAGAGCACCCTGACAGAGCATCCTTTGTGGGCCCATCCCTCACCTCTTCATCCATTTCTGGGTGGCAGAAGGAACGTGTGGAGAGTTCGTCCGTCAGATCTTCATGGCTGCTATGAGGAGGCTCCACCTTGCCACTAAAGAACAAAACCGTCTCTGGACTGGGATTAGGCCAGGACAGAATTCCTTGCTTATCCACACAGCAGAGCACCTAAAAGCAAGCCCAAGACACCTGACAACACCCCAGAGATATACAATAAACTACTGGGCAAGGCTATGCCTGAATCCGCGAGCCAGATAAATATCAGTCACAACATCCCATCTTTTAAGCACAATGGAAGACAGAAGCAAGGCCATTTCCAAACCGCCTTCAATCCCTCAAGACTTTTTTCTCGATGCTCTTGAGGGATTCCCCTCAATTCTCTTAGCAGGTGAACCTGCAGATGCCATGGTAAAATACTTTAAAGCTGAGGAAGGAATCCATGGTGAGATTTCAAGGCCCAGCTCAATGAGAGACCAGCTAAGGCCAAGAGGAATGACAAGAGGCAACTGGTGGTGTCCTTTAGAACTCTTAGCCATCTTCTATCACATTTCATGTTTTGGACAGGAGTGAAGGCTCTTGTGAAGGATAGGTAGAAAGTTAGACCCAAGAATAGTAAAATAAAATGTTCTAAAAGCTCAAAACAAGAAGTGCATGTCTACTGCTCATTTGCTTTTTATTGAAAGCTCAGCTTTATTATTTTTTTTCTACCTAGCCAAAATAAAAGAGTTTGCCAATCAGTAGCAACTTGACATCTTGGGTCCTCAATATAAAATCAATCTCACCACATTTCTGAAGCATTATCTCATCAATGTCTACCTAACATGAGAAATATTTGGACAGATTTTAGAAGAATTGTTTTTAACAATAAACGAAAGTAACCAATGAGCCACATGGCAGAGAACTCTATGCTCATTTTTAGAGTTCTTCTCACAACCATACTTACTGTGACAGATCCCAGGCTGTGAAGCAAACTAGAGGTGAAGGTGAGCGTTGGAGATTTGCCCTTCAGAACTCGCAGGAAGTGGCTCCAGATACAACGTATCATTTCCTACCAAAAAAGCCATAAGAACTGGAGTCAACTAAATGAGGAAGAATGACAAGTTCAAATAGACTTTATACAGAAATATGGTCATTTCCAGAAAGACAGGACTAGTAGCAAGTTGCAGTTTAACATTTCAAAAGAAATAAAGTATAGAATCCTGTATGTAAATCAGATCTCAAGTGCATGAAAAAGCTTGTTGGGAATGTCAACTTGAAATATGCACAGGAAGTAGGATTTCAATTCAGAGTTCTTTCTATTTTAATTAAATGTTTTGGTTTCTTGTTTAATTTTTTACTTTGACAAGTACACATCTAAAAAAAAATTGAATTTTAACAAATACATATCTAAAAAAATTACACAGAGAGAATTCTGAATTTCACTTTAGATTCAGTTTTGTAGAGCAATTCTGAAGAGGATTATCCAACCTGGGATTTTTTAAAAAAAACGTAGGTACATCATCCCCCATTACGTTAATTTTGTTAAAAATATGTGGCAAACAGATGCTAAAAAAACAGGTCTTTTGTCTAGTGTAGTGGGACTCATATGGCTACATTATTGCTAGGATTCTACTTTCCACCTGTACCATGGCCAGAATTCCACTTAGAATGATAGAATTAGAAGAGATTATTTAGCCCATTAAGTTCAACCCATGTTCCATGCAGGAATCCAAACTCAAGCATTCCCAAGAAAAGGATATCCAGCCTTCACATGAACATATCAAGCAAATGGGAGCCCATTACCTCTCTCCATAATTGCTTCCACTGTCAAACTGCTCTTACTGTTAGGCAATTTTTTCTAAAATTCAATCTGAATCCATCTTCCTGTAATCTGAATCCATTATTCCATGCCCTGAACTCTGGAACAATAGGGAACAGGTCTTGACTTTCTGTGACATCCCCTCAGATATGTGAAAGCGCTATCATATTTCTTCCTCGGTCATCTTTTCTCAAGGCTAAACATGCAGAGTTTCTTCAGTCTATCTTCTTGTGACTCAGAAAAATGGAAGAAACTTCTAGCTAAGTTGACTGCATTTCTTTAAAAAAAAATAAACATGGGAAAAGAAAAGCTATATTGAATAGAAGCCTATCAGCACTGACAGGAGATTACCCAAATCTCTTTCTCTCTCTCTCTCTCTCTCTCTCTCTCTCTCTCTCAACACGCAGTACTGTTTCAGAACACAAGAGATTGCTCCAAAGGATTAAAAAAATAGACACCAGTTCATCATCACCCACCTGAATTGATGTAACACAACACAACTAAATTTGCCCACCAATGCTACCACTTCTTGGGCAATCATTACTGAATTCAGTGGGCAATCCATGTTGCCTCTTACTTTAGAGAGAATAAACCAGCAAGTTCCACAAATGAACTGTTTCTTGATTTGTTAAAAGTCTGGTTTTTGCAGATAATGGTAAAGCAGAGACATTTTGTTTTCTCAGTTTAGATGGCATTATGATGAAACCTGAACATCTAAGAGAGAACAATCGAAGAGATTGATGTAATGAATGATAGAGGTTCGGACCCCATCAGTTTATAACCTATAGACCACCTGGATGAACTTTGAAATTCTGTGACCCATTTGTTCCATCTAAGTTCATAAAAGTACACAGTTTCTCATATTTATGTTTCTTAAATCTGATTCTGACACACAGATATACAGTATGCTGTCCAAATTCCTATGATGCTTTCCAGTCCCTTGGACCATCTGTCAGTTATTTTCACCAAGATAGACAAGTGATGTGAATTCTGTGCTTCCTTACAATAAACTTTTGAAAAATTCTATAGGATTAAATCAAATGCCTTTTTGTTCTCAAAAATCAGACGAAACTGGTATACTGTGGGCATCCACTGTAGGGAAGGGCAGATAGAAAAGGTGTGCAGTAAGCATGCAGACCATCATTGTATAGCTAAATGAAATTGCCAACAAGCAAAAGGAACAGAAAATAAGAATAAGAGGCCAAGCAGTTTGCAACAAGAGAGGATGAACTGTACAGAAGAACACAGAACAGGATACAAGTCTGGTCAATAAAATAGTACCTGGGAAGATACCATCTCTGTGTAGCTACTGAGTGTGTCCTCTGAGAACTTAGCCAGCTGCAGCAAAAAAACAAACAAAACAAAAAAAAGGTTACTATCAAGATATTAGGAAGTGATGCATAAGGAAAATCCTTTTGAAAATCCTTGTCACCACTAAGATACATGAATGAGAAAGAGGTTCTCTTAGGCTATGCTCTACATGAAAAATATGCTGCCTCAGCTATTCTTTTACAACTTAAGAAATCAGCCCAAAAGAAACAGTCTTCTTTTTGACTATCAAAAGATACTGAGGGACATAGGAACTTAATCTTGGACTAATATTAAGATATAAAATAGCTTTTGGTCAAAAGCAAACACATTATCAAATTAAAAATGAGCAAAGGTAATCAAGATAGGTGTAAGGTGTAACACAGGGTGCAGCATCAAGTAGAAGGTGATCCAGAAGAAGACTTGAAGAGGAAACCAGTGAGAGAAGTTGAAGACAAAATTAAAGAGATGGGGAGAAGAAATAGAAACATGCAGACTGGGAGAACAAATAGCCCAAATCCAACCCGCAGACAAAGGGAAGGCAAAGAAAAGAAAAGAAAGGGGCCATATAAACCAAGAGGACAGAAGCATGTAATTGTGCTAGATGATTCTGGAGGTAAAGAGTTACAAGAGACAGTGCTACTCTAAGTCAAAATGGAGTGGAAAAGACCCAATTAACCTTTCAGATGACAAAGAGCAATGATACAAGTCTACATTTGGGATCTAAGCATATTGCCCAAAGAGGCAAAAATTCTTGGACTCAGGGATAGAGAAGGGAAACACTGAGAACATGAGCACTGAGGCAAATGATGGGAGGCTGGAGAAAGGAAGAGGAAAATAAGGACATCAAGCTTCACATGCCTATAGCAAGCAAGCGGAGATGGAAGCAGAAGGAATGGAAGAAGCAGAACAGGAATGAACAGGAAAAGCAGAGAGAAGCAGGAATGATATAAATCAACTGACAGTTGAATTTACACAACCAAGAAAAAAGTTACTCCTGTTATTTCTAAACCCCATGAGTTCTGCAACTATAGAAACATATATAATATCTAGCATTCACTAGAGAGATCAGACAATTAAGAATCAAAAGGCCACTGCAAGCTAAAATAGAGGGTACACAAACTTACCAACTACCTGCTACAGAAGCTTCTGGAGATCCTGGTCTCAAAAGAGTTGAGAACTGCAACCAGCAGATTGTCTATCAAGTCTTCTGATCATTCCCATTTTGTTAATTCTCACAGCCCAATCCAGTTCCAGTTTTGCCCCTCCCTCCCTTTGACTGCTCCCTCAGGAATACCTCCAGTTTCAAAGATTTACAAAGAAAAAGCAGGGAAAGGGAAAGAAGGAGCACAGCATCTCCCTCTCTCAGGATTAAACGGTGTTTGTGAATTCCCATCCAGAGATCTCTTTGCCCAGTCCATCCTCCCACCACTCTTTACTGTTGAATACCTACCAAGGATGTGGGGGAAGCTTTGCTCATCTGGGCTAGGACCCTGGCTTCGCCAAAGGCTGTGGCAAGGATCCATAGGACTGGAAACAGGAGTGGGAGGATAGGCAAGACACCATTAACCTGTAACGCCATTCCAAGTCACAGTGAGTACAACCACCTTGCATAGCTAAAGATGTAGTACCTCCCCAGAAATTCACAGATGACCAAATGCTCATAAAGACATTATTTAGATGTCCAAGAAGCATCCTATATGTATCCTATAAATACATATACAGAAAACATAAACATGAATAAAGGAAAAATGCAAGAAAAGGTAAATACAGGCAGAATCTCAAGAGCCTTAAACCCCATTATATATCTCCATGAAAGACTTATCCATGTTTACTTGTACATCAGCAGAACTAGAATCACAAACTGGGGCTGGCAATAGGCCCAAAGTGTCATTGTTTCCTGAAGCTGGAATCTCAGGACATAATATAAAGGTATTGAACTTGCTTCTCAGGAAGGCCTGGACAGACGTTATATTGCCTTCCCTTGAATGCCCTCTTTCTGCTCCCCCCCCCCCAAATCAGGAGTCAAAAATCAGAATGCAAAATAGAGGCAAAGTATGTTCTGCTTCCTCCAAAGTTCTTCAACGAGTCGAACGGCTGCATTCTGCACTAGCTGAAATGCCAATCTCACTTTGAAGTGCATCGCTAATGAGCAGAGATTAATAGTGGGGCCTAACACATACAAAAGTATGACCATCACATAAGTATTTAATAGTACCCTTTTTTGATAAATGAGAACCAAAACCAGTTTGGGGAAAATAAGAGCACAGATTTCTTCACCTGAAGCTGAAGAAACATGTACTGCCAAGAGACTCTTCTATCAGCCAGGAAAAAAAACCGCATGGCATTGGTGATCAGGAAGCCAAGCTGCCATTTAAGAAAAGGAAACAACATTCAGTTGTCAGACTCCCACCCATCCATATCAAGCATAATTATTCTTTGAAAGATTACACAGTGCCCAGATTTGGATGAACCAAAGAAACTAGAGCACCCATTACACAGATAGATTGATTCATTTTATTTGCCATTGGTTTAAACACAGAGATGACACTGAGCCTGAGAATGCAGGTTTTGCCATTTTCATTACATGTATTAAGTTGACAAGAAATGTTCTGAAAAACAGTGCTCAAGGCAATGAGCACTTAAAAATGCCAAACATCAATGTAATTAAGATGCATCAGTAAAACTAAGGAAACCGCATTTGCCAGTTAAAACCTGCTTCAGCAAACAAGTTAGCTTGAATTCCAAATACTTCTGTGGATACAAGTCCTTTTGTCCTCCAGCACAGATAAGGGCTGGGCTGGTTCTCTTGGGAGCAGCTGCTGAAAAGACCCTGTGCTGGAATGATTCCCAAACAGTCTCCAATGATAGCGTGACAGACAGAAGGATCTCTCATCTAGACCTTACATTTCAAGCAAGCTTATATGTCATTTTCCAAATAAAAAGTTTTAAATTGTGCTTGGAAAGGACCAGTAGCCACTGAAGTTATTTTCCCTGGAACAGGTCTCCATCAATATTTTAGCTGAGGTTTGCAAACATGTTTTAAAAGCAGGCTTACACAGACCATATTACGGTAGTCCAAACAAGAGGTCCCTATGTCAGGCACTGCTGTGTCCAGATCAGACATCTTAAAGAATGGACACTATGGATGTATTGGCATTAGCTGTGCTCATGTATTCCTATCTTCCTTCAAAACTTGGATACTCAGTACACCCATCTTGGCTAGTGAGACCGAGAGGGAAACAGATGGGCCACCTTAGGGTTTAGTCAAGATATCTCCTCTTCTGTGTTGGTCTATGACTGTAACAATTCATTCTCTCTTCTCTCTCTCTCTCTCTGTCCCCCTTCTGCTCCATCAATTTTGTCTAGTTTTCTTCTGTACACAAACAAAATATTTCCTCCTATTTCTACAAATGAATACTCAAGACTTGCAAACATTAATCAAGGATCTATTACAGGGGTTCCCAACCTGGGGTGCCTGCACCCCAGTGGGTACAAGATGGAATGTCAGGAGGTGCGACAAAGAGTGGCTTATGTCCCTTAGGGACGAGTCACGGGTCATCAGCCACCAGCTGCCAGTGTGCCTTTAGTACCACATCTTCAGATGTGATATTACTTTTTTGTAGAGGGTGTGAACGTTAATCAAACATTTCCTAGGGGTGTGGGGCATAGAAAAGGTTGGGAACCATTGATCTATTAGAAGTGATGAAAACCGTCACTGATCCAACTTGACTAGACCCAAACCGAAGAGCTGCTTCTTACAACTAATCAGACATACCAGAACAACAGGAACAGCAAACTTCAGCATCACTGACTGTACTGTGAATCTCTCATTATCTAGAGCAGTCACAGGCCGGGATAAACCCATGTCTAAACATAATCTGAAACAAACAAACAAAAAGCCACTGAGGATCTTACAGTGTCAATAACGTATTACCTTTTTATGACACATGCCAACTCTGTACTCAGCAAACTTCTGTTACGCTTTGCGAAAAGAGCAGTATCCAAGAATCAAGAATCAAATTGTCAGATGATAATACAGAGTTGATGGAATTGGACGGGATAAACATTTTGTAAATAAAAAAATAAATATGTACTATAAGCATAACCCTTAATGACTATGGTGCATTCATGTGGCAGAGTTCTGACAGACTACATATCATTCTGCCACAAAACAGACCAGAAATACCAGTAAAATACTATCCGAGACTTGGGAGCAGACGTGAACTTACCGAACATTGTCAATCACTGGTGTTTTTGTGACACGAAAGAGTCGAAACATCTGAGGGTTCTGGGGTCCTTTCTTCAGCTCCCCACTGGGGGAGGGTGGGGGAGAAAAGGGAGGAAACAGATCTCCTGGCTCTAAGACAATATGTTCATCATCCTGTTAGAAAAAGATGAAGCAGTTTCTCAAAAGCTACTAACAAACAGGCAACTGAAAGATCTTACTGAAAGTTCAGGCTTCTTTAAGCAACTAACAGCAATTCATCTTATTTTACTAATACATAAAATGTACTGTTGCTTGGCTGACACAATAGTTCTTTATAGCATTATTATTTGAACCCTGGTTTTTTACTCACAGAACCTTCAAGGCAGCTGACAATAACAAATTAACCATACTTCTTAAAAAATAAAGAGATAAATGCACAATTAATTTAACTTAAATTGAAAAGACCTGGCCCAGCTGAAAGGCAATGGCAAGCATTTGTTATTGTTTTAAATCTGTTCTTCCCATTACAGAAGGAAGTCATTTTGTCACAAGCTCTATAAGCTGATGTTTTCTGAAATATTCTGTTTCCATTTTTAAAAGAAATGTCTAATTGGGGCCCAGTTAGGAGGAAATTTAAGGACATTCCTAATACTCATGTTTATATAGAAAAACATTAAACACTTTGAATCAAAAGAAACCCAGAATCAGACTTGGACATTCCAGGTTTGAGTTTCAGCACAGATTATTGTCTTTTACTGATACATCAGTACTTCTTATCATCCTTGCATCAAGAAGAAAAAATTGAGTTACCTTAATCCCTCTAAGAGAGGTGAAGGATTCCTGTCCTGGCCTCAGAGCAACAATATCACCTTCTACCAACAAGCTGACTGGGAGGTTGACAAGGTGGCCATCTCTATAGGCCCAGTGGAGTGACCAGGATGGGGCAAAGGGCATGTGAAGGTCAGGGTACATGGTGTTTGTCCAGATAAGTTCTTTACTATCTTTTAAAGCATCTGAAAGATCAGATTAACAGAAAATGGTTATTAAACAAGCAGCAATGGTAGAAAAATAAAGATATCAAACTGATATATCATTGTTATATAAATACTGACTAAAGTAACAGGAAAAGTATTCCAGGAGGGAGGGAGGGAGGGAGGAGGAAATGTATAGGCAACACCAGAAGACTACCAGAAAATTAGAGCAAATAGATTATGAGTCTCCTTCCTTGCCTCTCTCTTGAAAAAAATGTCATTCAAGGTAAACAACACATATTGGCAGTCCGCTGCTGCAAATCATGTCCAGACTTCTCTTTCCAATGTTGTATAAATAATTCTTTTGGCCACCCTCCATGCATGAAGGGATTATTTGATGAGGTCCCATCCACTCAGGTCATACTCTAAACATTGAGCCAGATTTCAGATGCAGCAGGAATTTATTCTGAGTTCATCTTAAGGTCAAATTAAGCATGGCATCGATGGCATATGTCCATTTAACATACATGGTTTTCAGTATTTGCCTAGCAGTCTTCAAAGCCTAACTTTATCCTTCCAGTCACAGTATTACTTAACAAAACCCTCCTGGATCTGTTGGCATCCATGCCATTTTAGAGAAACTATATTCGTCTCAACCATGGCAAGCAGGGGTTATGCTCTCCCCATTTTCTGTTTCTCAATTACTCATTCTCCAGCATCTCTTACTCACACCTCCTAAAGCATGCATTTTAACGGCATCAGTGCAATTCATTACTTTAGTTCATGCTGCAAATAATCTGCTTGGTCTTCCTACAGATCTTGCAATCTGTAGCAGCAGTCCTTTTAGCTTTCTCTGTAGTGCACCAAAAGCCTCCACATTTGGATAGCTCTGGCAAGCAATATGTTTGTTCACAGGAGAAAGTACTGGGTGGAGTGGGGATGGAGGGAAATAAGGGAACAAAGACAGCAGCAGTGATCTGGCCAAGAGTCCTTATCAAGCTTCATGTGTTTTAAGATTATCCTCAGCCCATCAATATGAGACATTCTTCTCTATAGTGGCAGCCTGACTTCAGAATATCCGGCCACAGGAAGTATGCTTGCTGCCAATGCTGCATTATTTTTGGCGCTAGGTTAAAATGTATTTATTTGCCCAAGCATTTTAAATTTCAAGCTTATATGTTATTTGGTTTAAATACTTTTTATGCTTCTCACTGTTACAGTCTTAGACAGCTCTTGATGCTTAGCCTTTATTTCCATTTCTGTAGCACTTAATATCTGATATTGGGGCATATGACCCCAAATACTTTTTTCTGAATGAAGACACCCTTTACAAGCGTATAGAATAAAAAAGCAAAAAGTATTTCCTTCACTGTCTTAGAATGTAATTTACAGGATACTATGGCAACACTACTGTGACTGGAATCAGAAAAAACAGAGGATACCTCCATATATATTTGTGTGTGTGTGTGTATGGTTTATATGGCCACCCATCTCACAACTATCTCTGATGAGATGCTGTCAGAAGAGGGAGAACGAAATCTAACCAAATGCCTGGTTCAAATCTGTCATGAAAACATCAGAAAGATGGAAGGGGGGAAAGACTGTGGCAATGCTGGAACACAAAGACAAAGGAAGAAAGTAGAGGAACATCACTCTTGGACATGGTTACTATATGAATGTTCTGGAGAATTATCTACTGCTAATTAAGAATAGATTATTTTTCAGACAAAAAAAATCAGAGAGCCTGCATGGTGTCGGACTATTAGTAAGGAGATCCAAGTTCTAGTTCCCACTTACAGCAGCTCTCTAGATGTCTGTGGGCCAGTCTCTCTCTCTCTCTCTCTCTCTCTCTCTCAGCCTAATAAACTACCTCACAGGGTTGTTCTTGTGGAGAAAAAATGGGAGGAAGGAACATTATGTACATGTCATGAGCTCCTGAATGAAAAGTGGGACATAAATCTAATAAATAACAAATAATAAAATAAATGGCAAAGGCTCTAAGATCTGCTTTTGGAAAATCTATATAAGATAACAAAAAGAATGGAGATGGAGGAGGAGGAGGAGGAGGAGGAGGAGGAGGAGG